ATTGTTTTTCTTGTGACATTACCAATAAGTTTGATGTGTCACATGGCCCTCTTCCTATTGAAAAAACAAATGTCCATATAAATTGCCCACCCTGTACAATCTCCCTCTACAATCTCCACCATTGTCATCAGCCTCATTATCCCTAATAAGAAAACTGGTGTTGCTCTTGGCAGTTTGCCTTCTACCAGAAAGGCTTTCTGAGTTGGTAAATACTGTGAAGAGATCTGCTTGACTCTGCAATCCAGCTTAATCAAGTAGCTTTGGTATCAAAGCCTCATCTACCAGTAACTTGAGAAAGAAAATGAATACATTGAAGAAACTGATGTAAACTGAAGTAAACTATTTAATTTACCAGTCAGGCCCTGAGTTTGGGATAGTGACTGAAGAAGGAGACCAGTGGTATAGGCAGTTTATGATTCCTGTAGGCTCAGAGATGGGGTGAGACACTGATCAGCTTCAAACCTGGCCAACCCAGACCTTTCTGTTTGGACCTGTTAACTGAGGTAGACTATTTTATTTAAAGACTACATGAAAATACTCTGCAGATTAGTGCAAAATAAACAGGTCAGTTTGCTGTACTGTGATGGTTTTAAAGTATAGAACAGTGTGTGACTGGTGTACAGTGACTTTGGTGCAAGTTGGGATACAATCAAGTTTAGCAGAGATGAATCTGAAGTTAAGCTGATGATGTTTAGATGGTTCATACCAACTTTAAACCATCTAGTATAAAGTTAGTATAAACAGTTCTCCATCCTCTACACTGACTGAAACATCTGCGTACATGTTGTTGGATTGTGTACAAGTTTTTTACAAAGAGCAGTGAACCTCAGTGCATATCCATATCAGCTTATCACAGCCTGTACACTAAGAAAATTGACCTATTGTAACCTACTTTTCCCCACACTGAGTGGCTACAACTGATGTTAGGGTTCCCCACATGCTGAATCCCACTTTAACCTCTTCCCTACTCCCCTTTTCCTGTTCAGAGGCAAAGTCACCCACTACAATGTAGACAACAGAAAATATAGGGTTTTTTTAAGCTTCCTTCTTTTCCTTCTGATTCAAGTTGAGTATAACTAATATTAAAAATTAGACTAAAGTTTGTATTCCCATCTTCTAATATTTTTTTGTTATTGGATAAGTAGCTTTGCACAAAACGTTTAAGATGTTTCTTGTTAAACCGGACACAATAAGGTAATATTTGGAGAACATGAGACACCTGCATTCATTTTTGTTAAGTGAAAATAAGCAACCCAACAATTCCTCTCAGTGCATCCTTCTGCCCAAAGACTCAGTCATGCATTCAGCGTCATTAAACTCTTACAATTCAGAGATCAAAGACCCATTTTCTCAGTTATTTATAGAAGCCTAGCAGCTCTTAGTTGTGGAACTAAAGCCATACAACATCACATCATTAACAGTGTTTTCTCTTACAAAAATCACAGTTATTTTTATAATAGGGTGTTTATCTCATGGTCCTGGATTTCCGACGTAGGTTTTTTGCTTTGGGACTCCTTTGGAATTCTTCTGCCTTCAGGGTCTCTTTTTGTTTGGCTTTCTTTTGGTCCTTGGTTTGTTGTCTACATTTTGACTTTAATTTATCAGGACAATTTCTGTTATTATTACTGAGTCTAATTATCCCTCAGGTTTCTGATTTCTCTTTTATCTTATGATCTTTATATTTTTCCAGTTCTACGTATTAATTATTTTGTTGTGTTCACTATAGTTGCCTGTGTTTTCACATTTCATTTTTCCATTTACTTCCTGTTTTTCGATACGTCATCAACTTGAAATAAAGGGTCGCTTTGTGTTATTTCCGCCTGCCTTTTGGAGCCTGAATTTGGTACCTCAATCTGCAGGACATGACGGTTTATGAGGCTCTTAAGATGAGGGATTTTTTTTTGTCATGTTTTCCCCATGTCAACATTTGATTGAGTCAGAGAGTCTCAGTAATGTTTGGAGCTGAATTATGCACATATATAAAGAATTAAGAACATCAAAAGTCCTCATGAATTCCGCTGATGCAGCACATGGGGATTTCTTCTCAGAGCTGAACACTGAGATATATTTAGAGAGGAGAAGCTAAGTAAATAAAATCTGTTTTTATGATTATTCTTTATATTCTATTCTATGTTATCCACACTTCAGAGAAAGAAGCTGTTCTGATGTTCTTTATGTAGTTCATCGTGATTCATTCATGTGTTTATGGGATTCTCTTTCAGCATTATTAAACTATTAAGACCACTGCTTTGCATTTCTTTGATCCTTTCCTTTGGCCTACAACATAACAGGGATTATGGTCCCTATATACTTTTATTGATTTATTGAGGATTTGACAGGAGGGTCAAGGTAGCACATCTGAAAAGTCTTCTAGGTTTTCAATAAGTGGCTGCTGAGAACTGTAGTACTGTGATTGTAATGTAATAGGAAGTTCCAGAACGTTGAATTTGTCTGCACTGGGTCCTGCTTAAGAGTCCACATAATTTATTTTTCTATTTTGCATGCAACAGTAATCTCAAATAAATTGGTCCATATGTGTTGTTTTACAAGATATCTATTATTTCCATAGAGATTAAAAAGAGCTTGTGAAGCTGATAAATTGATTAGTGCATGTTGTGTTCCAGCATTGATAAAAACAAATATTTAGGAGGTTGTGACCTCCAAAAATGAATTTTAAAAATCTCAGATTTGTCATTATAACTGGATTTTTTTTAAGTAATTTAAAAATGTTGTAATTAAAGTGTGAAAAGGATGTCTGAGGGGTGGTTTTCGTTTGTTTTTACACATTTAGTGTTCCTTAAGATTGCAAAATACCACCCTCAATGCAGATTTAAAAAAAAATCAAAAGCTTGGAGAATGATAAATTTTCTATATCAACAGTTCAATATCTATCTAAATGAAGAAAACACATGAGAGCTGTGTCTCAGTTGCCAAGCTAATTTTTTAGAGGTTGAGGGGATAAAAAGGTATGTGTAGTCACCACCATCAAAGGCAAAGAAAAGATCAAAAGGAATTAAAATAGAGGAATGCCCACCACTGGCAGGAAGATCATTAGTGAATTCAAAGAAAAAAAAGTATCTCTCAGCACTGGGAGTGTTATTTAAAGAGTGATTGTTTCCCTGGTAGAAGTACCAATAAATGTAAACTTGCATGTATATCTTAAAGTTGACAAACTACAGCATTTAATAATAATGACAAGAACTTTTATATGAATAAAACTCATTAAACTCTAAATTTACTTAAAGAAACAACAGTTTGTTATACATAGCTTGTAAGATTTTGCCCGTTTATAATATATTTAAGCTTGTTTGCAAGTATCACGTTTTCACAATCTAGTAAAAAGCTGTCATCATCTTTCATTGTCCACAAAAATCTTAGTATAGTTATGTGTTTGATGAACATTGTAGGAGTTTTCTAGATTATTTTTAAAGTGTTTTCCTCTTAATCTTCAATCAAAAGTGTATAAATGTGCTTATTTATTCCTGATATTAGGACAATTACTTACTGTCAGAAATGGTAAATGGCCTGCATTTGTATAGCGCTTTTCTAGTCCCTAAGGACCCCAAAGCGCTTCACATTCAGTCATTCACCATTCACACACTGGCGATGGCAAGCTACATTGTAGCCACAGCTGCCCTGGGGCGCACTGACAGAGGCGAGGCTGCCGGACACTGGGCCACCGGGCCCTCTGACCACCACCAGTAGGCAAACACGGGGTTAGTATCTTGCCCAAGGATATTTGGCATGCAGCCAGGAGGCAGCCTGGGATCGAACCACCGACCTTCTGATTAGTGGCTGACCTGCTCTGCCACCTGAGCTACAGCCACCCCAGAAGATTACACACACAACAGTCCTCTCTGCACAGGTGACAACTAGCCAGCAAAACAACACCTGGTTGTAAGCTAACATTATGGCTGCTAATGTAAGGCTCCAGTGTTCTAAAAATCACACATATCCCTCTGATAAACAGTTTGATTGCATTGATTGCAGTCTTCCTCTGTGTAATTCAGACATGTTTGTCATACAGCTAAAATATGTATTAGGGCAGCTTCAGGGTGAAATTTGTTGAACTGACAAGTTTTTGCTTGTCACCAATGGCAAGTACTTAATTTTTAGTAATCTTTTTTTCAGAATGCCACAGCTCTGAGTCCAGCAGAGTCCAAGATCTCCATTTTGAAAAAAAAAATAAAAATGAGGCCATAGCATATGATTCACATACCCAGTGGCGATCCTAGCCTGTGTGGCTCCCTGGGCAAACACTCCCTCTGCCCCCCCAAACACACACACACACACACAGACAGACATACACATAAAACATATTAAGGATTGTACATAAACATAAAACTGTTGTTGGAACCATGCTGAATTTCACCAGAGAAACACACACACACACAGACATATGAAGAGAGAGAGAGTGCGCCTAGTATGCAAACAGCCACCAAACAGCCATCATAATTCATCATACAATGAGACCAGAACAAATCAACAATTGACAATGATTAATTAATATTAAAACCTGTAACATAATGTATTGTTTGGAGTTTAGTCTGTTACTGTTACTATTTTTACCATTTCTTCTTGGAGCATGTAACCCACATCATTTCCTTAGGGATTAATAAAGTATTCTGATTCTGATTGTTTCAGAATACATGACCTGCCATTATCCAATGACACATCTGCTTACCTGTATCTTGTGCTCGTTTCTCCTCCTCTTCCTTTCTCTTTTTTCTAAGCTGAAGACATGATGGCTTTGAACTTTTCTTGTCCATCTTCCATTGGTTTTAATTTTACACTCCAGTATGAACACCCATCCCTCAACCCGAGGAACACCACAACATAACCTAATAAACCTACACCTTAGTTCACTTTGTCTAGGGTTTATTTAGACGATTTCGCACAACCCAGGATTCACTGTAGTTTGCGTTTTGGCCAGCAGAGGACGCGGGTGATCACACACCCGACGTCGGACTCGTAATAATACGGCGAAGACACCAAAGAAGAAGAAGCAGAAGCAGAAGTTTCCGGTGCAACAGCTAGGCATCATCATGCCTACTGCTGTGATTATGGAGGAAAATTTTGATAAACTATTAGAGCAGTGTGAAGCCCAAGAGCTTGAGGTAAGGACTTTGTGATCTTAAATATGAACAGGAAGGTCGCAGAGATTTTGTGGCTTTGAAAGCAGGATGGGAACGGTGCGGTTTTTAGATATATTAGGCTAGCGTACTGGCTACAAAACTTAGCCTGTGTGTAGCCTACCTTAAAGCTCTGTGAAATTAACTTATCAAACACGTTTTCTCGTAGGCGAAACATTCTCATGTTAAAAATGAGATATAGGCTGTAGCAACGTGTTCATGTTGGACTGCTCTTTGCTTTACCTTTGCCTTTACTTGCCAGCAGATAGTAGGAAGTTAGCGGTCATAATCTCTCCGTTAAATTGGAACATATCTGCAGGTCATGTGTTTGATTTAAGAACCTTTAAGTCTTATCTGTGTTGACAGTCTGTCTGTCTATCTGCATGCAGCCTACGGACTGACAGTTTATAGTATAAGAATAAGTGAGCGAGACCAGTACTGTAATGTTAGCAGGAGCTAAAACTGTTAACTGGACGCTTGCTGTTGGCTGGGTGAACATCAGCGACTATTATTTTTTCTTTATTATGACAATAATAAGACAATAATAATAACCCGTTTTCTCTGAGAAGTAACATTTGTTCAGTTTTCCGCTTGTTTTAGTTCCAATGTTTAATCGCACACCTGCATTTCTTTGTAACAGGCTCCAGGGGGCATTGCAACACCTCAGGTCTACGCTCAGCTGCTGGCGCTCTATTTACTTAATAATGACATGTAAGTCTCTGATCTCTATGTATTTATAAAAAGAAATACATTTAAATGTATATTTGGGTCTCAGATTGCAGGTAGCTGATTTAGTTGATGAGCCCCTTTTTACTGCCTGTATCTGTATTATGAATGTGTTGTGTGTTTTCCTAACAGGAATAATGGCAGGTATCTGTGGAAGAGGATTCCCCAAGCAATAAAGTCGGTAAGCTTGTTAAAACATGTGTAAACACTGCTAAAAAAATAACATTTGAGCATGTAAATGTGAACAGTAAATGCTGTTTACTTTAAAATCCAATGTTGGTTTTATTACATTTTTCAAACCTACTCATACTGTCATGTATACAGTTACTAGACACTTTGTAAGGTGCACTTTACTAGTACTGGATGAGCCCTCTTTTGCCCTCAGAGCTGCCTTAATTCTTTGTGCCATAGATTCAACAAGGTGCTGGTTTTAGAGGTTTTGGTCCATGTTGACATGATGTCATCACACAGTTGGTGCAGATTTGTTGGGTGCTTATCTCTGACATAAATCTCCTGTTCTGAAACCTCTCTAAACGCTGTACTTGCTTAAGATATGATGACTGTGAAGCCCATTTGATTAGCCTTCCTATCAGTTCGAAACAGTTTGACCATTCTCCTCTAAACTCTGTCATCAACAAGAAGTGGCACTCATTTGATTTTTCCTTTTTTCTGAAAATACAGTGTAAATCCTAGATGAAAAATCCCAGCAGATCAGAAGTTTCCTAAATACTCAGACCAGCCCATCTGACACCACCAACCATTCAAAGTGTCTTGTATTACCATTCTTCGTCATTCGAATACTCAATCTGAATAGCATTTTGTCTTTGTCTCGTCTTGTGTGAATGCACTAAGTTAATGTCATGTGACTGGTTGATTTAATGAGTAAAGACAAACTCATGGATTGGAGAAGTCCTTTCATGACTGAGCAGCCAGATCCATCATAGCATCACAAAGGGATGGTACAAGGAGCCAATGGTGAGAGGCTAATAAAGATTTCTTTTTCTAGTCCCTGTTTGCTTTGGATCAACTGGAGGCTTTTCATGGAGCTTTCAGAACAATATGATAATAAGGAACTTTGTTATCATATCATATTCTAGCTTCAAATTAGAAGTTAGAAATGTATGGTCTGTGTTTTTCATCACCTTTTTGCCATTGTGGTGCCTGCATCACATTTAATATTAAGGGCATACCACCCTGACACAACCAGTTCCATGTTTCTAGAAAAATTGCTCAACTTTAAATGTAAGTAACTAAAAACATATGTAATTGGCATTTTCACTTGTATTGCAAAATGATCTTAAGTCCTGGAAGATCAATTTGCCCCACAGGAAAACTTTTTGGACCTGCTTAGACAACCAAGAGAGCACTATGAAATAAATGGAATTATGGTACTGCCAATCAAGTCATGACTTCTTGCCAAGTCCAAGAAAAGACAATTTCAGGATGATGGAACCATTGTGATCCAACAGTGTTACATATATATTGGGCTGTGAATGTTCTTCACAGTAGCATTAAAGCCACTACCTGGTCAAGTGTTGCATTCTGATTGTGTTTGAAATGCTTCTCACTTGTTTCCTGCAGGCAAATCCAGAATTAGCAGCTATATGGGCAGTGGGCCAGCGTATTTGGCAGAGAGACTTTCCAGGGATCTACACAGCCATTGCTGCTTATCAGTGGTCGGAGAATATTCTTCATGTCATGGAGGCCCTTAGAGGTAACCAAAAAATGTTAAGAACACTAGTTGACTTCTCGTGCCTCACGTTGACCTGTTATTACACTCTTCAGATTAATTATGCTTCCAAATATTCTTTATCTGATATATAAATTTGGCTCTGTTGAAACTAGGAACTAAGGCAACATGTTCTTTCAGCAGGTTTAAGTGAGTTCAATATTTTAAAAAAGTTTCATAAATCATTTAGAATAACTGCCAGCAGGGGGCAACAGCTGAACCCAGTCAGGGCTATGAGGCAACAAAGCAATGGGAAAATAAACAGAAACCCTCATGGTCATGAAGGGTACATCAAATAACCACAACAAGATACTTGCATATTAAGAAGGTGGTTGCGTACCTACATATTTTTCTGTTTTTCAGATCACCTTCTCAACTTCAAAGGAAACATCAGGTCATAAAGTTATATCATCTGATGGTCACAGTTCTAGCTGCATTTGTATCATGTGTCAATTACATTGTGCAACAGTTTAAGAATAGCTTCTCACTTATGTTTATGACACTGTGTGTTGATCAGATATTAATGCTCAGAACAGTATGTCATAGCACAGTTAAGCAACCACTGGTCATAACTGCTTAGTAGATGTGTGAATAAACATTAACAAAAAATGTGCAACAGTCAAGAACTGCAGCATTTATTCAAGATTACATTTTTTTGCAATCTGACTGTACTTCCAGGCACTTAATGTACTGAGTGTATTCATGACCATCATACAGCTCACACTAATTAGAATATTGCATAATATATATTTTTTCCATCAATGTGTTAAAAGAATACATTTCCAAACGTATAAATTAATCTGAATATTTTTAATAAATCTATTTAAATCAAAGCCACAAAACGAAGACATTAAATATATTGAGAACCTAAAAAGTAATAAAATATATTATCATCTTACCTTAAATTTAATTTAACAGTCTCACCAAATTGTGGATTTTATTATTAAGCTCATCAGGTTCCAGTGCTGAAGAATAAGCAATGCAAAAGAAAGAGACTAGCAGGTAAATTATCATTTAGAAAAAAGAGGCTTAAATGTTGTGTCCGTGGTAGTTTAATAAACATAATTGATCCTCAGCCATTTGCTTTTACCGGTTAGTTTAATTTAAAACGTATGAAAATTGCTTTTCTGTAAAGTCACTCCATTTACTAAACAGAACCGGTTACATAAATTGGCACATTGAGCAGATAAATGAAAAGAAATCAAATGGAAAAACAGCCAAGTCACAGGATCTTGACAAAGACTTGTTTACCAATAATACTGAGCCCTCTTTCTCAGGTCGAGCTCCTCTGAGCCGGTCACATGGACCCTGTTTGTCTGTACTCAGTTGGCCACTTGGGTCACTGTTAGAGGGGACTCTGCGCCCACTGGGGCATGTGACACATGCTGCAATGGGTAGGAGGGGGAGTTTCGGTGAAAAGATCCTAGGCTAGCAAGCGGGTAGGAATGCCTGGTGGAAAGGATCGGGTGTCACCAGCTGTGAGTGTGCAGTATAAAGGACAGAGCTGCTAGCTCTCAACCAGAATAGATATCAGCCTTTCAAGTACGGCACACCAACAGGAGAAGTTCTTAGACGCTGTACTCTCTTTTAGCGACTCAGCTTTTAGCTTTCTCCTTGTGAGAACATAAGACTTCCTAGTCTAGGTGTACGCATAAAACTTACGAAATGGACATCCAGAGGACAGGATCTGTGGTTCGGCCCCCCAGCCCCATGGATAGCCTTGAGAAGCAGCTGAGCTGCCCCATCTGCCTGGACATGTTCACGAAGCCTGTGGTCATCCTGCCTTGCCAGCACAACCTGTGCCGTAGCTGTGCCAGTGACCTCTATGACTCGCGCAACCCGTACCGCTTTTCTGGTGGCGTCTTTCGCTGCCCTACCTGCCGGTTTGAGGTTGTGCTCGACCGCCATGGTGTGCACGGGCTTCAGCGAAACCTGTTAGTGGAAAATATCATTGACATCTACAAGCAGCAGCAAGAACTAAGTGGCAGTGGAAAGACAGAAACCAACCTGAAGCCTAAAGAGTCCAAAGAGCCAAAGTGCCAGGAACATGAGGATGAGAAAATCAACATCTACTGTGTGACCTGCCAAACACCCACCTGCTCCATGTGCAAAGTGTTTGGCCAGCATAAGGACTGTGAGGTGGCCCCTCTAACAACTGTTTATGAGACCCAGAAGGGTGAACTGAGTAATGCTATCGATACGCTGGTGACCAGCAATGGTCGCCTGCAGTCTCTGCTTAATCAGATGGAAGACGCCTGCCGTGCTGTACAGGAAAACGCTCAGCGTGCCAAGCAGGGCCTCGCTGAGCGGTTTGATCTGCTATATGCTATCCTAGAAGAGCGTAAGGGCATTTTACTTGAGCAGATTGGGAAAGAGCAAGATGAAAAGGTGGCAGCTCTGCGGGCACTGGCTCAGCGTTACGGTGAGCGACTGCAGGCCAGCTCAGAGCTGACTGATTCGGCTGTGAGGGCATTGGAGCAGAGCGGAGCTGCTGAGTTCCTGTTGGCTTCGAAGGGCCTTATCACACAGACCAAAGATGCAGCCAAAGCCTCACTGGGGGAAGAGAGGCCCGAGCCAGGCTTCGAGAAGATGGACCACTTCACTATATCAACGGAGCATGTTGAAAGAGTCCTTGGAAAAATGGACTTTGGAGTGGTTGGAGATGATGATGAATTTGAGGATGCAGAGGAGGAGGAGGAAGAGGAGGAAGAAGAGGAGGAATGATGAGAATTGGAAGTTGTTTTGAACTTAAGTACTCTTGAAGGTGTTTTGAAATAGGGCAGTGTTTGTCTTGAGGACTGAAATATTAAGGAGGTGAAAGAGGATGTGGGCTGAAACTGTTTGCCCTGTCAGTGCAATATCTAATTTCAGTGTCATATTCATTCTTTTTTTCTTAAGTTCTTTTTATACTTTTGTACCTCTAAGTCTGTTAAATGTAGAAACAGGTAGTATTTAGGAATAGTTGTTATTTTAGATTTCCTTTCTCACTTTTTTTGTGGAATTGGTGATCAACTGACCTCGATGTAATCACCAAGTCTGTTGTTACTGGTAATAAACCTGCATGAATTGAAGCAGCAATGTTCTTTATTTTTAGCTCAATGTAAGCCCAACTTAAAATATTGATTTATTTATATTAAATAAATGGGGCTTAAAAGGAAAAAAAAAACCCTACATGACTTAGGATTATTTTGGTGCTACAGACTTTTGGAGTGCTTCCATCCAAATGGTTCCCAGTCTGTTGCTGCTCTTACTTGGCAGTGGACTGTATTTAAAAATAAAGCCCCTTGCCATGTCCTGTCTGCTTTGCCTTTGCTGGTGAAAAGTGGGGGCTATTTTTAAGAGGTGAGATGGTGAGAGGTGATAGCTCACCCTGGAATAGACTGACAGGGAAGGACAAGCCAGGTCCCGTTTCTCCTGCATAAAACTCCCATCCTCCCACTCACTGATGTCTTACTCAGCACCTCCAACCCAACTCTGAAGTGTCAGAGGGGCATGCTAAGAAAGGCCTGTCCAGTTGCCACACAAGTCATTCTCTAGCGGCCAAGAGGCCATGGTAAAAATATACATCTTCCCTGAGGCTGGGTTACAGAAAAAACCCCTTGAGATGATCAGCCTTGTTGGGTCAGGAGCATTTGAATTTACAGATGGTCAGCTGCCAGAAAGTTGTTCCAACACAAGAAGCAGTTTTATAAGCTGTGTCTCTTTTTAATAGGAGTTTTTAGCATAGTGATGCACAACAAAATGGGTTTAATTTGGATTTCTTGATTTAAGAGGTTGTTTGAATCAGAACAGTATTTAAATAAATAAGGATTGTGGCTATTTGATCTCAGGCCTCCATTTCAGGGACGACACAGAGGACACCCAGTCAGTTTTTATAGTCCAACATATTTTTTTTTAGTTTGTTTTTGGCTAAGCTTTTGTTTTCAGTGCAGTTTAGTTTGTCTACAAAAACTTTGTCTTTATTCGAGTTACAGTTTGTTTTTTAAGGTTCAGGAAAAGAATTATTTAGAAAAAGCTTCTGTAACATTTTAGTGAGACAGAACACCCCGCCAGAATATGATTATGAACTATTTGGTCAGGTCCCCTAAATCTTTTGGATATATTTAATGATCCCCACCACACGCAAACCCAAACACACACTGATCTCAATCAGTAGAATCACACCATTCTTCTAGCACTCTTCCTTTACATAAATAAAGATTTATTTATTTTTTAATAAATTAATGGAAGAAACAAATTGGTGTATCTAATGGTTAAAATTCCCTAGAGCTGGACCCACAGATCATCCCCCCATGCTGAAACGCCACCTACAGTCATGACTTTGGTTAAAACTCAAGCGCAGCTGTTGCGTAAACGGTGTTGACATATTTTCCAAGACATGTGTTCAGCTTCTTTTTGCCTCTTTTCGATAAGAGCAGTAACATTTAGGACAGGAAGCTCGTTGGACATCGCAATGGAAACGCGCTCTTGACAATCTCTGGCCTTCCCCTACACAGCTGTCTTTTCTCATCCCACTTGTTATTGTTACTGCTGCTAACTGCTGCAGCAGACAGGAGGATGATTGTTGGTATACACACAACCCGTTGCTAGGCTATAAAACACCAAAGGCCATAACCCCAAGGCACTTGCATGATAGCTGCTGTAGCAGCAGCGAATACCTGCCAGCGTATGTTGTTTTTGAGGCCCTGTCACTCCTACAGTAATCTCCACAGCACGTCAAGTCAGGCTAGATAAACAGGGCAGTTTGGAAGCTGAAGCCAGAGCCTGCTGATAAAGTCTTCAACGGGTCTGTGGTGTGAGCATATTTGTGATTCGGCTTAAGCATGCTTCATTTAACAGATCTTTAATTAAGTGTACTTGATTGTGGAATTCATTTTAGCTCAAGTCAGTTTCCTGAACAACAAATGCAAGATTTCACTTAAAGCAAACCCAGATGGTATGATGAATTAAAGACAATTTTTTTGTTAAGACTAGCTTTGTTTGATTTTCACAGAGCAGTTCCTGTTAGAGCTGCGTGTCATTGTGTTTGTTTGGGCTGGGATGAAGTGACTTGCCAAACACATACAATTACCACAAGAAAGGTTAAAAATCTGCAAAGACAGCAGAGTGAGAAACAAAGAGCTTCTTCCAAGGCCAGTGCACTGTCTAGTTTTAAAGAAATCAGCATCAGAATTTGTTAAGTTCTTTTCCCACCACATTCTCTTAAATTTGGTCCAGGGGGCGTTGTGTAATCTTGCAGATGGACAGAGAAACAAATACCCTTACTTGACATTTACTCAGGATGTAACAATGTTGAAACTAAGACTAACGCCATAATGCAGCTGTTCAGTTTTATTAGGATGATACGTCTCATACTTAAAACATGAAGTTGGGAAAACGCATTACTGATGATGTATGCATCATCAGTAATGCGTGAATGCATGTTGGGAGTGACAGATCTGGGTTATGGCATAAGTGAGACAGTACAAAAGATGGAAAATCCTCTCCAGCATTGACATTTCAGTATTAAGTGATGCCCCAGGGATGAGATCAGTGATGCACGCTACATGAGTGCAGCTGACCATAGCAGAACAAAGCCTCTGAATATCCATAAAACTAATCAATGACCTTAAAGTGTTAAAGTCAGTGGAAGAACACAAATTATTGCCTGAAAATGCAATAATGATTGGGCTTGAATTTATTGCATTGCATATTCAAAATGGAAATAGTTTGATAACCAGATTTCACTATTAAGGACCAAAGGCAGTGATAAATCATGTAAAAATAATAGAAGACAAAAACAATGTTCTTAATGATGCCCCCTCAATCCATGGAAAAGTCAGTGAGTGATCCCAAGTGACCTGCAAAAATCATCAGATTTTGTGTACATCAGCTTTACTTTTTTCATTCAACCCATGCAAAATATTTCCAGAGTTACAGACCCTCAGAGTGCAAAGGTGTGGGTTGAAATTTGGAGCTTTTTTTTTTTTTTTTTTTTTTAAATCCGCTTACTGGTCCAGGATTTTAACTGCATGAGTACCAAAGAGATCCACATGACCTCTCCAGAGTTGAGGGAAAAATAAAAAACACATTAAGTTCTGTTTAAAAACTGGAGCCAAATCAATTTTACACCCACACTAAGGGTCATGGTCTAAAGAGAAAATGTTTCTGTCCAGCCCTGTAACCAGTTTTGAGCAACATTATAATGGGATATATCATAGTTGAAATAAACTGCACCAGTTTAATGTCCACGAGAAGAGAAAAGCTTTGGTACCATAAATGTTTAATATGTTTCTAATCAGAATCGTGTTTATTGGCCAAGTATATGTGCAGACACATACAGGGAATTTGGTTCCGGTAGATGGTGGCTCTCAAGCACAGTAATGTAACACACACACACACACACGTGTCTATATATACACATTACACATACATACACAAAGCTGTGTAAACCAACTATAAATAACGGATCTAAACTTATATACATAAAATACAGAAATGAATGAGGTGGAATGAATACTACAAAATGTACATAAGGTGCAGCTGCAGTCTGGCAGTGGGAGCAGTGTGACAGGTCAACTGTTAAGAAGGGAAATGGTGAGGGGAAAGAAACTGTTCCTGTGTCGGGTGGTCCTGGTCTGCAGGCTTCTGATCATTCAAAGGGGGAAAAAATCTCTAAAGTGTGATTCATGAATGATTGCTAGCTTGTGAAAACAAATTATACAAGGTCCCCCACCACACACACATTTTCATACTAGCCTCATCGTCCAGCCACAGTTCCTTTTGGGTCAGAATAATTTTCCTTAATGTATTTTGACAGTCTGTAATTCTGGCAGGTTTCATAGCATGAAGGTAAAACTGTACATGGCTTTTTAAATAGAATAAAGTTGTGCTCAGAGGGGAAGATCTATTCAGAATACTTTTTTAATACATGTTTCATATCTAATTTAAAACAGCCTGTGAATATAGATTATTTGTGCTTTGTACGTTATGAGATGAACAGTCTGTTCAGTGGTTCATTATAATCTGATGTGTTTCTGGTTCTCAGAGCTTTGTTCCTTAGAATATAATAAATCACTCCTGAAGAATTGTTCGTCTCAGCATGTGACCTGCTGTGCTGTTGCTCATTAGAAGTGCTGTTTACACGAGACATGTTGCTTAAATATCATGTTAAAATGCTGTAACATCATACTCTCCTCGTGCCTGGAAGCTCCCAGCAAGTTGCCCTGTTTGCTGTGCACTTTAAATAGAACCAGAGCCTAGAATTAGCTCATATGCACTCCATATGCACCTATCTCATATGTCTTCACAGAGAGCACACGGCAGCGGGCGTACAGCCTTGTGGCCCAGGCGTACACTTCCATCGCAGCGGAGGATTTTGCTGCTTTTGTGGGCTACTCTGTGGAAGAGGCGGTGAAGGGTAATGTTATATCTGCTTTTTTTTTTTTAATCAGTCGTAATCTTGCTCTCAATTTTATCACATTACTTTATACAAAGTTATTAAGAATTTTTTTTTTTTCCCCTCACTTCAAAGGTGTGGTGAGCCAAGGCTGGCAGGCAGACGCCAACACCAGAATGGTGATGCCCAAAAAACCAGGTAGGTGGCAGTGTTGCTCTGTTAAACTGTCTTATCTGTAATCATCAGAACTTACTGCATGACTGAAGCATCTGCTGCACACATGCATGCAACCAACCAACCCACCCACATGAATCCCCCAACTTTCTTCCTTAGTTTTTATTGGCTCTTTTAGTTGTTGATCTCACACCGGAAATGATTCTATTTAAGATGGATGTAAAAAAAAAATTGTGCTGGCCTGGCAGGTAGTTGTTGTTTAACAGGTGAGGCGTAGTCTTGAGCTCACTTCTAGATGTGAACAGTAGGTCTAACTCGAATGAGCTGAGCTTCAGAGTCAGAGCATGTGGGCTAAAGAGCTAAAACTGAAAGGATGTAAGAAGATCGATAGCATTTGGCACAAGAGGAATCTCCCTCTGACTCAACTTCTCCTCCTCCGTGTCTCTCTCCTTCAACAGATCCTCCCCCTGTCTCGTTGGTTCCAAATGAGCAGCAGTTGGCCAGACTCACTGACTACGTGGCTTTTCTTGAGAACTGATAACCCACCACAGCCACTGCCACCCGTTTTCACCCGCTCGGTACTGAGGGAGAATACAAGACTCTTCATCCTTCCTGCAGCCCTGGTTGAGACGTACAACCACCCCACCCCCCATCATCTTGCATGATTTCTCTGGGACATAGCTATTTATGTTCAGCGACTAATAAACCCTATGCTCTTGATGTGTTGAAAATTTCAGACTGTGATGTTGTACATTTTTATGCTCTTCGCGAACCCACCTGATGTCTAGATTTGGCCGTTTTTCAAAGGAAGCTTCATTTTCCCGTCACCAACTAATTCTTTCCTCCCAGCAGAAATACACAAACCAGCTTGTACAGTCCACTCCTTCTGTTTTAGCATTTAAAGTTGGCCTTGATATAAATGTCATCGGGTAACAGGAGTCTTGGCATGCATGCATCACCGTACGGAGACCTCATTTTGAAATTTTATGTTTTGACTGGTGAATAAATATTTTGCTGTTTCTATATTTCTGGTACTGTTCTTCTGAGTTTTGTCTGTAATTGGTGTTGTATTTCAGAGTCAACATTCACTGTAAATGAAAGTTTGTTGTCTTCTGTGGCCCAATATGAGGAAGCAGCCCTGTATTTATGTATGATTATGGACCACCAGGTAAGTTGATATTGGAGCAAATGGATATTTATACCCCAAAATCACATAAATTGTTCTGGAAAATGAAACGAGTTGCAGTTTAATCCTGGCGGTGGAAGGCAAAACTTTAAACACACAAACATTTTTTAACATCTCTGCTAAATATAATAAACTTCTAAAGTGATGCTTTCTAATTAACATCAGAGAGCTCACGGACATTTTTATTCTGTGATGTCATATCTGGCTGCCATCTGTTCCTCACTGCTGCAAAATAAAAGCCTGTATAAGGCCTCTCTGTTCTGTTTTGAGGCATAATTTGAAATGTGCACTTCTCCTTTACTTTGTAGTCATTTCAGCTTTTATTGTAGCTGGCACTGGAAGGGAGAGGCAGCCATTTGATGTGATTTAGTGTGAAATCCTGGACATCGGGGCCATTCCTTGCACTTTTGTGGTTGCAAGGATCTCATTTATTTCATGGCATGGTTTGCTTTGTTTTGAAAATGCCACATTGGACACGACTGCAAGCATGAAAATTGCCCGTCTGTTTACATTTGCTGCTGTGTGTCCTTTTAAGTCTGTCTCGGTCTACAGATTTGCAGCATGTAAAGGGAACTGTGAACTTAAAGATACTTCTCAGGGACTGGCACTGAACCAGCATGACAGTATCCACCAGGTTTAGTCAACACAAAACACTAAAAGGTAATGGACCATAAGGATATACACACAGATGTGTGTCCAGCAAACTATTGTGCATAAACTGCCTAAACTAACTAAAGAGTGCTTAATTCGATTTATATCAATAAGTAATGTAGTATTAAGCTGACTGGAAGTTTAGTGACTGAGGGGTCAAACTCGAGGGCCGGTGTCCTGCAGGTTTTCGATATCACACTGGGTCAACACACCTGCATCAAATGATTAGTTCATTACCAGGCCTCTGGAGAACTTCACGATATGTTGAGGAGGTAATTTAGCTATTTAAATCAGCTGTGTTGGATCAAGGACACATCTAAAACCTGCAGGAAAACAACCCTCTAGGCCTGGAGTTCGACATCTGTGAATTAAGGAAACACTGGCTCATGTGAAATCCAGGGTTTGGAGTTTTGGGTTATTCTCACTGTTTGTGCAGGTTTCAGCTGGCAGCAGAGTTAGCACTGCCCACACGGGCCAAGGACACTGTCACGAGAGGAAGCAGCCAAGAATAATTCGTATAGCGCTCACTGTACAGAAAACAAACTAACACCCGCGGAACCACCGTGAATGTGCATTGCAGCGTGGCCGGTTAGCTCAGTTGGTTAGAGCGTGGTGCTAATAACGCCAAGGTCGCGGGTTCGATCCCCGTACGGGCCAAGGTTCTCCTATTGGTAATTGAATATGTGACGCGTCGTGAGTTTTCCACGTTGTGCATGATTTCATCGACATGAAGTTCAAACAAATTTTCTGTTTGTTTTGTTTTTTCAGGTTAACTGTTACAAGGACACCAGTCTTTTCCTACTTGAGACGAAAATGCCTGTATTTACGAGTTTTAATAATTAGGGTTAAGTTTAAGTTATATATTTACACTTAGTTGTCAGGCTCCTTGTAATGTTTAATTTGTTTGTGTACCTCTCTGAGCTTTTTTTTTTTTAATGATATTGTATTTAATGGAGCTGGGGTGTTTTCGGTTGCCGTAACATTAATTTCCTGTCTTTTAAAGGTAAATACATTTTAAACAAGTATCAAAAGCAAAAAATAAAATGGCTGTTATTGTTGTGAGCAAGAAGCAAAGAGATGGCCACATGATCCAGTATTTCAGCACTGTGAAGCTATGTAATGCTTCTAGCCAAGACCCACTGGCTTTTAACTAACTTAGAAAACATTTCAAACCATTTGTTTCTGGAACAATTGTTAAATGGAAATAACCATTCTTGTAAGGTGACTCCACCCACATCATGTGTGTATTTTATTTTATTTCATGCAGGGTAAATTTTGCCTTCCAACCTGCCAGGTTTATACTTTCAGGGACAACGCAGCCCAAGACTTTGTTTTTTTCCATCTTTTTAAAGATGTCAAAAAACAGAGTTTCACTGAATAACTTTTAAAAACTCTGACTATTAACACAGAGTAATCTGATGTATGCAGAACACAATTCTCTAGGTTCATATGATACACAGTGATGCCAGTGCTTTGAAGTAAGGGCACAAGGTCACACTGTGTTTCCAGAATTGGCTCTGTGCTTTTACTACCGTGGGTCAACGTTTATACCTCGTGCTGGTTCAGATTACTGACACATGTATAATGCCATGTGGTATACATGGCCTCATATCTGCTATCTGCATTACAATAATAAATTTGACCTCAGTGTTCTCATCTACCTTTAACTGATCCATTTTTGACACAGAGCTCTCATGTAGGAAGATTCTACAAGCACTGGTAACTTATTTTTAGATGAGGTGATCTATGGACTGAAAGTGAATGGAAAGTCACAATGGAAACTTTCAATTATCCCCCTCAGACTTCAGCTTCTTTTTCTCAGAAATCTTCGCAGTCATAATATAAAGTAAGACACTTTAATTTGTCTACATATTGTTACTGTAGTAAGTGGTAGCACTCGTGGGAAGGGAAGCCAGGCCTCATATGTTTTCTCAAACTTCAATTGTCATTTTAATGAAAGCAATTTGTTTAATGGTTTCGGCCATTCTCTGCTCTTCTCATTTCTCACTGACTGTAAAATGGACCACATGAAACAGCAACCCTCTGAATGCCACGGTGAATATTTGGTGAAACACAGTTTTGCACTCTCACAATCTGAAGGCTGAGCAGGACTCCCTTGAGATGAGGCTCTGTTTGTCAGATGAAGTCAGCTTTGAATTTGATTGATTTTTTTTTAGGTTTTAAGTAAATAATAATGTCACTACACTGCAGCTACAGCAGTTAACTCGTCATGGTAGGTGTACACCAAAACCTGAACTTCAGTATGGAGAGAAAATTTGGACTGTCAGTATTAGAATGTGACATGTGCCAGTGCAGTAGTAGCACAGCAGCAATTTCACTGGCTGTGGCTTTTTTTATGACAATAATTCCCGCACACTCAGGCACTACTGTACTTACTGACCTTATCAACTTAGAGGAGGAACATTTGTGGACACAACAGACTTTTCAACCCAGCGAAAAGGATTCTGTGAATGACTTGGTGAGGATTTCTACAACATTCACAGTGGTTGTGAGCAAGTCTGTCTTTGCACACAGGATGCTTTTTCACTCTTTTTAAGTCCACTTCTTGTACACAACCATTTTCAAAGCAATGGCATTTTTTAATACACAATTTAACACTGTTCAATGAAAAATGCGGGGATAAAAAGGCAACAAAGGATGAACCAGCGTTGTGTCTTTACTGGCATTTCTTTGGTTGAATCTATGGAAAATTGCAAAGATAAAACAGTTTGACAGACATAAAAATAGTATTTTTGCATCATCTAGGTGATTTTGAAAGAGCTAGCTGTATCAAAAGGAAACAGAAAAATATCCAACACAGCACCTGGACATTGATCCATCGGAGGTTCACTAACATGCCATAAGAAATTGTTTCAATGAAAGGGTGACTGTCAAGAAACCTTTGCAGCGAAACAGGGAGAAAAGGTAAAAGCCAACGGAACGTGATCAAACATGGACTGGACTACTCAGAGCACCGACTTCAATATTATCAAAACAGTGTGAGATCGTCTTGATGAAGGAGAGAAGAAAAGACAGAAACATTTAAAAAAAAGACGAAAGAAACCTAGAGAAGTATTTTTGAAGGCTATTTAAAGATGTTACAAGAAAGCTGCCAAAGAGAGTTCAGACACAGTTGAAGAATAAAGGCGATTAAACAGTCAGGAAGCACATATTTATGTATTTCCAGGTTATATTGGACATACTAAAATGTTGCACAGATTTTTCAGCTTCACTGATCAAGAGCCACGAGTGTTCTGTAACACACGACAGCTGCTGCTACAAAAATAATCGTCAGCTCTCCATACATGCAAATGCTGTCCACATTGCAGAACACTTTGTCTTTCACATTTTCAGTTCGGCATGTTTCTTTTGAAGAGGCTGAGATAACTGTTTCCGATTGTGCATGTTCAACCCTCTCATTGTTGTTTGCAGTGAGTCTCTAGACAGTTTGCAGATTTTAGAAAGAATTAACATGAAAAAATAGCCCAAGGAAAGACTGGCAGACATCTGGATGTTCCTGTTTTTGTTGTTAGGGGTTTTTTTTATTATTATTATTACATTTTGTTTCGTTTAAGAAAAAAACCCCACAACAGCACTTGAGTCACTGGCTCAGCATCTTTTGCACAGCTGCTTATGTTTAGGTAGGAACTGTTGTGGGTGAGGTCATTTTTTCCAGGGGTCAAAAGTGACTTCTTCCTCACATGATGTTACAGACGACTGCACAGATGAGTCGAGGCGCTTTTCCTTTTAGAAGTCTGTATTTGTTTACTGTCTCTCAAAATCAGTGGCCATTTTCAAAGCTTTGTGCACTTATTTCACCAGTTATTTTCAGTCTAACTTTTCATTTCAGTGGTCAGTGGAACATTAAAAATTGTACTTAGAATCCCCAGTAAAATGATATAAGTTCTGACAAGCTCTTAAACACCACTGGCTGAAATATGATCCCTTTCTCCATGTTTCCTTTCCACTTCTGATAAACAAGCTTCAGTGAACAAGCTTCATTGAAGAGTTGATAGATCAGCTGAATCAGGTGCATTTCCTAGTTACTGTGTCAGGTATTTGCTGGATATTTTCCTATTTCTAATGGATGTGACTGCTGCTGCTGCTGCAAAAAAAATTTTTAAGGCCTGCCACTTCACCTTTTGTCCTCCATTAGTCCAGTTTTCTCATTGCTTTAAGCATGCACTG